CCCCCCCCCCCTCCCCCCATCAAATTGCAGCAGCCAGGTCGTTTTCGAAGCGTCACAACGGTGTTATTGCAGTTCGTACAGAGAAAAGACATTCAGGTGAGCGCCCCGGTTTTGGCGCCGGCGGTGCCACTGCCAGTGACCGCTGTATACAGGGCGACCGCCCTAATATGTTTTTTCGAATGCCTCGACAGCAGTATTTCATCGTATTCGGTGTCCGGGACGCCACAGCGATCTACAAAGCGGCTTGCTCGTGCACGAAGCCCGATTTTTTTGTCGCACTTGCATCTTTGGCGGTGAGTGTTTTTTTTTTTCCCAGGTTTGTGTCTGCCCGGAAAAACGCCGCGCACATCGTTTTGCCCGCGATAAATTACACATCTCGTTGGCAGTCCTGCATACCGCCTCTCTTGTATCCGCGGTGTCGGCTTCTGCCGCGTGTGTGCTTCATGCGGCGTCGCTAAACTGGTGTCTAGGTGAAGCGAGTGCTGTCGGAGTACAAGATCCACAACTGTGAGGTCTTGGTGAGGGAGGACGTGACCGTGGACGACATCGTTGACGTTGTGCAGGGTAACCGAAAGTGAGTTGAGGGCACAACAACCGTCGAAAAATCGGATTGACATGTGTAATACGGGTGCAAGAGTGTCTGAAAACGATGTAGGTGGAAAGAAAAGAACGCGATATGTGTGTTCGTGTCGTGATTTTTGGCTGCGGCTGCATGTGTGCTGATGACTGTCGTCGCCGTCGTTGCTGCTGCTGAAGTCGTCGTTTTGGCGAATGGCCGAGTGCTTCTAGGGAACCGTAGAATAGATTGTTGCATCAAGTGTCTTGCTGGACAAATAAATTCATCAACCTGGCACTTTTCGAAAACACCCATGTGCGTGGGAGGTGTCCCGTGAACCTTTTTTTTTTGGTTTCCATGTCTTGACAAAGTGCACGGCCTGTTGTCCCTCGAGCTACATGCGTTGAATCCCGACCCATCCACATATTTTTGTCTCTCTCGCTGTTCCCTTTTGGGTGACGTCTGTGAAGGTACGTCAAGTGCTTGTACGTGTACAACAAGGTGGACATGATCTCGATCGAGGACATGGACAAGCTAGCGCGAGAGCCGAACTCGATCGTCGTCTCGGTGCACATGAAGCTAAACCTCGAGGCGTTGTTGGTGAGCAATGGGGACCTGATTGAGGACACATGCGGCAGCGAAACGTCTTGAATCTACTATTCTGCTGCAATGCTTACAACGCTCTCTCCTGAGACTGGTTCGAAACACCTGACCTGGCGACCTACCCGTGGGTGGCGTCCGACGCTCTTGACTCTGCGATTGTTTACTCGTTGGAAAGGTGTGTCACGGAAAGGAGGGCTTGTAACCCCGCGCCGACAGAATCGTACGGCGGGGACTGCGGTTTTGCGTCGTTTTTCGTGGTTCTTTTTTGTTGTTTTGTGGTTCGCCACAGGCCCTTCGCTTGAGGCAGACCGGCACCACACTTACGGTAGGCCAGTACTGCGACGAGATCGACGGCAGCCTTGCATCTTACACAGCGAAGGAAACAGGGTGCAACAGTCGAGATTTTCTCGAACCGGCATGAATTCTCACTGTTAATAGAAGTATACAGAACAACGATCCAGCCATGTTCTCTCCCGTCTGCATGTGACGGCATTGGTTGGCGGGTCACGGATTTCCGTATGGTTACGATATGTTACCCAGTGGTCGCAGACTGGCACCTAGTCCTCGCACCTGTAGACGACCACCCACCCTACATGTCCAACCCAACACAGTTTGTGTGTTGAAATACCCTCCCCGCTCTGGCGTCCCCCCCCCCCAATCTAGACTTCAGTGGGTTGGCGCTGTTGGCAAAGCGCTGTAAAACACGCCACCCCAAATATAGCCCCCATAGTATGCGCTACCAAAGACGCGTGACGCATGGATGCGTGGAGTGAGGATAGCTTACGGAAACCTCACAGGTTGAGTAATGTAGGAGATTGCCGGACACATAGACGTGTTGAGTGATTATAGCTGTATACTGAAACCCCACGGAAAGGGGAGGTTTGAGATTGCCAGACACA